CATATAGCTCGTGTACGCATGTCCAAAAGCTGACTCGTGAGGAGCAGGTTCGAGATATTTGCTGCATGACGAGTCCTCCGCAAGGATGAGTATGACTAGAGAGGTTCTCGAGGACCATTCTTGGGTCAGCTTTAGTCGTGCACTAGCAAGTGTAATCTCCAAGGATTGCAACGCCCCATTCGGGTCTTCCAGACCACCTTTCCAATAATCTGGACGCCGGACGAGCTCGTATAAAGCACGCTTCCGAATTGTAGGCAAGTTACATTCTTTCGAGGTGACGATAGCCCTTTCCGAAGAATTAGTAGATGATCAGGGAGTATTGGGTAGCTTACATTGCGTCCTCCATTGCATCCACAAGAGCAGCGAAAGATCGTTTGGTTACCACAATTCCTAGGTTAGCCTGACCAACGACATATATCTTGCAACCATCCGAATTTATAGTATCCTCGCTGCCTTTGAGAGACAATTTCTCGCTGAACCATTTACTTTCTTTGGCCAATCGAGAGGCATGCAGTTTAAAGGAGGTTTTCTCGACCTGCACTATAACTCATTTCTCCATCATACCAGTGTCTTTCGTGTGCTGTGACTGTCGAATCATCTCCGTCGTCGCATACAGCAGTGCTAGAGCTTGATTGGTCTGTCCTTGCAGGCATATCGACAAGAACAAGTTTGTTCACGTTCGTAGTAGGGTGCACGGTCTGTTTTGTGATCAGGACCACTTTGTTAGGGAATTGGTAATTCAAGAGCATACCTTTTCGAGGTCAGATCGTAGTCGCAGAGCAACTTCAAGGCTGAGAGCCACTATACCGAGAGTGCGTCACGGATCACATGTAGTGACAGTGCGTGACCTCACGTCGCGTAAAGCTCCTCAACCGAGCCTTTTCGGTGCGATTACCACTGCCAACATTCGTAGTTCAAGGCCTTTTGGTGCATCCAGGAGCTGCGAGTTGCACGAAAACTTCATTCAATGAATGTACATGTTTCGAAAAATGTGTGCGGACCCACGCCATCAATGTTCTCATGGCCAAAGGCCGCTCAAAAATAAAAATAAATTGGAGAGACCCCTTCGACCCTCCTTGCAATCGTACCATTACTCGGCTCCTTTTTTTCTCTCCATTCCTATCTCGAGGTATCTAGATTCTTTATAATGTTTTCACACCACCGTACTTCAGTACGTCCTGTTCCAGCTGCTTTAATAGGCTAGTTTTACTGCTGAGGAACAAAATCATCTTCTAGGTCAACCGAGGAAGCAGACCACGGCAGGTTTTTGTTCATCCAAAGGGCAACAAGCAGGTACCATTACCTCCCATCATTCATATCACCAGTCGAGCTGTGCCTTCGATAGGTACCAAGAAAATAAATGTTCACGTATGTTCTTCTCCTCTGAACGACTTGCGGGAGGACCTAGAATCATTGGCTTCTTGACATTTGTCGTATAGCCCTATCTCGCGGGGTACCAAAGCCGCGTTCCTGTACGAAGACCCATTTCGGATTCCCAAGCGCCAGTTCCATCCTCTAGTGCTAGTGCCGTACGTTTTCGAAAAAAGCTGCTATTGGCCGACGCTAAGAAATTTTGTCGTTCACAGCCGGCATTGATGAATGCGATGCAACAACTTCAGATTGGTGGATCGGTATATATTTTTCGACTGTCTTCAACTGGCTTCTAGCGGGTTATTGACGTACTCTATTCTATTCGGTTTCGTTGTATAGGCGGTGAAAGAACCAGATCAAAAGATGGAGGTGGAAGAAGATGTGCCCACCGAGATCGAATGTACTTCTCGAGAATCCAGTGTCGAAAGCATGAGTACCAGCAGCTCGGCTCAAGTATGTTTTTCGTCGAATCTCGTTCCCTGATACGTCCGACTTGGGGAACTTGTTGTTTACAGGATTGCGTTAGTGTACTTCGTCAGCATCCTCCACCAGAACACCTCCCCAAACTCGGGGGAAATCAATATAATATTTCTCAAACGAGGTTTTCCCAGAATGTACGTATGTTATCTCCGTGAATCTCGGACTGAGTACAACTCGAGGCGTCGACTTATCAGACTATCCTCATCAACGAATTCCGACGCATTCTCGCTTCTTTTCGTCATATGAAATTTTCCGATGTGTTGATTAGTGGAAAAGAGAAACACACTTTTGATGATATGCGGAACTTCAAGTTTACCGTCAAGAAGGATTCTTCGATTTATGATCATTTGAAGGAAGCTGTACGTCCGTTTCCTGAGAGTTCGCTGTGCATCAGTATACTCATTCCGACTTTCTATCGGACCTGTGTAGATCCCTCAACGAAACTGGTAATGTATCTTTCCAAGGGTCTTAGGGTTCCCCATCGCTGATCGTCCATCCGTCCACACACAAAGGCAAAAAGAATCCATCTTCTACTTTCCAGGATGCATCCACACAACGGTGACAGGGGCCCAACATCTCCTAGCCTTCGGTCCTCTCGAACAATCTATACCCAATTTCAAAGACGAGTTTACTGGGGAAGAACATAAGATACGCTCGCGCTTTACAGAGTTCTACGACAAGACCCGGGAGCTGTTTGTGAAGCGGAAGAATGGGTTTGGGTATGCGGGTCGGTACAAGATGCATTCGTTACTGGAGAAGGCTCCGGAAGGGTTGTATATACCGGATTATGTGGTATGTGTAGTACCCTTCCTCTCTTCTTTTGTTTTTTTCATCTTCTTGAGTCTTACAACGGCTGTGTTTCTGTTTGAATTGAATGTCCAGTCCCTTGAAGAAATCGTGTCTTCCGCATTACCCACATTTTGTCCAAAAAATTTCCCGACCTACGCCCAGCTATGCGACCTGTACAAAAGTGGAACACTGAGAGTTGAATGTGTCGCGCTGGAGCTGGTCGATCGTGACGAGTCTGTGTACAAGGCTTTGGAGAGGGTTCAGCGGGAGAGGGTGCCGCCAAACTCGAGACCGAAATGGGTAAAGGCTAAGGGCTTGGGTAGGGAGACGGATAGGGAAGGGAAGAAGGTGGTGAAGGAGGGTAGGATCGAGAAGGTGTCAAAGTCCAAGCCTAAAGTGAAAGGTTTGAAGAGGCAGGGAGCGGTAATAGTCCAGCCTTCGCCCTTGCCCTTGATGGATTTGTAGCAGATTTTCAGCTTGATATAGAATCACATATAGTATATAGTCCATCAAGCCCGCCGAAAGAGCCAGGCGCCTCGTAGTCCACGAGAATACTCGTTCGCGTGGCTACCGAACAATACTTCACGTGACCGTGGTTGGTTCGCGTCAAAGTTTATTACTCACCCGAATAAGCGCCCAAATCCCTTTGTTGCTCTTGTCCGTCACTGTTGCTATCGTCGAACATCACAGCCCTACGGGCTCATCCCCAAGCAAAATGTCGGAAAGCCCTGCTCCATCTCCTGCGCCTGCCGTCCCTCCGATAGCACCAAAGGAACAAGAGGATGGCTCGAGAATCGAACAGCCAGAAGAGGTCGTTGAGCAGGCTCCGATTACCGAGCAGGAGGTTGGGGAGTACAGGGAGCAGGACAGATTTCTACCTGTGATTTTTGGATTTGATTCCAATCTTCGTGTTCATGCTGAATTATTGGTCCTTAGATAGCCAATGTTTCTCGAATCATGAAATCTTCTGTTCCCCCAACGGCAAAAATCGCGAAAGACGCGAAAGAATGCGTACAAGAGTAGGTACAGATTCTCGCCGCCCCCTTTTCTTTGCACGGAGATATCTATGTTGAAATCCTCGTTTTGAATAAAAAAA